CAGTACTTAGATGGGTGACCACTTGATAATATCAGATTCTGTAAGCTTAGATGTGTGGGTGGTGTAATGGATAATGACTCGGAATTGTTAATTAGAGAGCTGAGTTCCAATTCCTGTTGGGTTTGTTATATTCACTTATATGCAAATACACTTGGGAAATTTGTGAATCCCCCTCTTCTACCCAGCTATGGATTAACTAGTAAGACTTGTATCACTAAATCATTTTTATCTTAAAAAATTCTAACAATCCAACAAATAATTTCTGACTTTAAATAATCTGCAAAGTGCTGATAAGTTGTAGAAAACAAATCAATCAATTTAAATCAGCGTGATTTCTCTTCTTTATCTATGTTATACATAATTCTTATCAACTCTATCCAAACTTTCCTGTCTTGTACTGTCTCTCAAAAATGCTGCAGGTCTTTTAAGCTCTTCAAAGTTTTTACAGAGAATGATGGAATTTCACAGATTGTCCTCATGATGTTTCTGTTCAATATGTATGGCATGATTGTTTGCAGTGAAAGTATGCAGAATTGGTCATCTCAAAGTAAAATTGTATATATTTTTACAAGTTTGCCCAACATGTCATAATGCGGAGTTTCCAGCATAAACAAAGGATGAAAAGTGAGATCAGGTATGTTTTACATCTTCGGAGGAAATAGGTAACTTTAGTTCCAGTCATGATTTGAACTTCAACAACACTGGTAGCAGGCCAGGTACTAATGAGTAAAAATGCCTTTACCGTAGATCTTCAGTGTGATTCTATTAGAATATATATGAAATAGAGGGGTTAACATAGCTCCCCAATTGATTTTTAATTTTGAGCTACCTTGAAACTGATCAATTTACAAATAATTTCAAATTTTTCTGGCTCAAAACTGATACAAAATTCCTAGACTTAGAACAGCATAAATTAAAGTATTTATCCAAGCACATATCTGAACAGCCTATGGCTCAAGACCATTTTCAATGTTGAAATACCTTGCACATATTGCATTGGTAGCAAAAGTTGTCCAGTTTTATTGGAAATTCCCTTTTTACAGAGAATGATGCTATTTTACCGAATGTTCTCATGATGTTGTTCATAATGTGTATGTCATTGTTGTACTGCATTGGACATCGCAAAGTAAAACTGTATATATTTTTTTTAAACAAGTTTGCTCAAGTAGTCATAACATATAGTTTCCAGCAGTAGCAGAGAATGAAAAGTGAGATCAAGTATGTGTTACATTTTTGAAGGAAATAGGCAACTTCAGTTTCAGTCATGATTTGAATCTTAACAGCACTGGTAGCAGCCCAGGTACTAATGAATAAAAATACCTTTCCCAGAGATCCACAGTGTAATCCTATCAGAATACATATGATATAGAGGGTTTAACTTATATAAATAGATCCCCAATTGATTTTTAATTTTGAAACTGATCAATTTACAAATAATTTCAATTCTGGCTCAGAACTGAAACATATTACTTTAAAATTTTTAGACTTAGAACAGTATAAATTAAGGTATTTATCCAAGCACATATTTGAAGAGTTTAAAGCACAAGACCATGCTTAATATTGGAATCCCATGCATATATTGGATGATAGCAAAAATTGTCCCGTTCTATTGGAAATTCCCGTCTGGGATGCCTCAGGCAACAGAAATGATCATGACACTATCTCTTTCTTAGTATAATTTGGAGCTGTGTGGCCTGGGGTATGGCCTCTTGGAATTTGACCTAGTCAGTTTTGGTTAAGTTAGGTTGTTTGCTTTTATAACATGCCAATTCTTTTTGGATTAGGCATTATCAAATTATTGATTGATTCATTCATTTTTTATGTCTCATCAACCCTTTCACGGTTGTTTAATGCGAGAGAATATTTTAAGATTGTAAGGATATTTTTTGAGATAATAATCTTTAGTGATAAATGTTTTACTAAAACTCATGGCTGGAGAGAGAAGAAGTAGATTCATAGCATTCCCAAGTCTATTTGTGTCTAAGTGAATATAACAAACACAATCAAAACTGGAACTCGGACCTCCTCTGATTAACAATTCTAAGCCATTATCGATTATTCAGCATGTACTTTCATGCTTGCAGCAACTGGTATTCCCAAGTGATCACCATTCTAGGTATTGACAAGGCTCTATATTGTTTAACTAATCATATAGGAACCTGTGTTTCAACATGATGTGGCCATAAGTCAGTCAGGTATATGCCATACGTGATGATGTATCTTTTGATACATCACTGACAAGGCAGATTTTTTTCCACAGTAGGTTGCCATTTCTTTCTAGAGTAGACCAGTTGCCATCCAAGGCTATAGAACCTGGTATGTCCTGCTATTTACCCATAGCTGGAGGGAGAAGAAGAGGATCCACACCTTTCCCAAGGGTATTAGCCCATAAGTGAATGTAATGGATTCGACTGGAATTCGAACTCGGCTCTCCAATTCCTCAATCCGAGCTGCTATCCTTTACTACACTGTACCTTCATAAATGTAAAGAAAGAGGAAGTTTTAAGAATTTTTTCATGGTAAATTCTTTTTGTACTCCCCTGTAAAATTTTGTCCCATTTATCTATGTGGAGTCATAGTTTTTAGATGTGTCAGTTAGTTATGTGTCATGCGTGATACACATTTAGGAAATCATGTATCTTTCAGTACATGACTGATGAGGCAGATTTTTCCTGCAGAAGGTTGCCATTTCTTTCTGCAGCAGAGCAGTTGCCATCCAGGCTATAGAACCCAGTCTTTCCTGCTATTTACCCATAGCCAGAGGAAGAAGAAGAAGCGGATTCATACCTTTTCCAAGGGTATTAGCACTTAAATGAATGTAATGGATTTGACTGGAATTCAAACTCAGAATTGAGGAATTGGAGAGCTTAGTTCAAATTCTAGTCAAATCAATTACATTCATTTAATTCCTCAATCCGAGCCACTATCCATTACTCCACCATGCTGTCTTTTCATAAATAGTAGAGCTGTAGAGAAGAAGAGGATTATTACTTCTCACTGTTTGAATATGGAAGGAATGTGGATGGTTTGCTACTAAGTAAGTGATCAGGCAGGTCCTAGCTGTGAAGGTTAAAGCTGGTGGAACCAAGGAATGTAGTTCACCTGAGCACTTTCTATGGAAGTAGCAATAGAGCAGTGGATCACTGTGTCATGCCTGTGAGAGAGAGGTTGGAGGACTTGAAGATACTTTTAAACTCTATCAAGACTGGAAAGTGAGGACTGGGTAGCTCCTGCCCAAATATGACAATTGTACTCCATTCTCATACCTGATCTGGCTCTTGTAAAGATAGTGGATAGCAAGTACTTACTGGAGCATTACAGGGAGCTACCATTTTACCTGTATCTTTAGTGATAGATTGTATGTATGAGTTCTACTTGAAGTCAGGTGTGAGGCCCAATATTCTCTCCATGCACTGTGCATCCTCGAGGAGACATCTGTACATCATGACCAAAATATTGTGACAATAACAACCATGATAAGGATACTAGCTCAATTATGCTAAATTATAATTCCTCATCTCAAAATTCTGAGAGACATGTACACATGTGTAAAGGTATTGAGAATTAGAAAGGTATTTGCTTATTATTATATTTGCTCTTCTTAACCAATTCCACTTCTATCTCAGTCATATCACTTGGGATTGTAAATGAAATCCTTAAAACAACAGAAAATCAAGGTATTGACATGTGAAACTAATATATACAATGTATTGCTAAAAATGCTTGAAGAATGGTCAGTTCCTTATCCTATTCCAGTAATTAGCTGACTCCTCCTGCTATATTCTGCCTTTACAAGAGGCAGATCAAGCTGAAAATGGAGTACTGCTTCCATATATGATAACATTGAAACAACCATAAATGCCATCTCAAGACAGGTTCAGGAGGTGATGTGGCAATGTTATTGTAATTGAATATGTCAAACTGCATGAAGATCAACCATCATATACAATTGCTAGGTGTACACAAGATGAATGATTTTCTCCATGAGCAAGGCAAATGAACATTAATTTAAAAATTGCATGGCCTTCATCTGAATATCACAAATTATAACCACAATATCTCCCAACAGGGTTTGCCTTTGCTTATAAAGTAAACCCTTAAGAATAAAAGAAAATAATTACTTGTTGAAAATTCTTAAGGCTGACTTCTTGAAAATTCTTATTTCTTGTGCCTTTTTTTTTATAACAATTCTTGTTTGTCAATCCAATAAGAAATGCTTCCGGATATGGGAAACATATGTGTAAGGATAAATGCATAAAAATAGATTTCCTGAAAATTATATATATATATTTGTGTTTATGCTGGATAGTTACCAGAATTGTCAGATGTTTATATTTGATAAGAACAGACATGAAGTCATTTCTTTTGTTTCTTATTCTATGTACCATGGCATTTCAGGGCATGGGTAATCATGACTCTCCACAACTTCCTCTTTTTCCCTTTTTACAATTTTTTTATTCTTGTTCTGCCATTTATATTCATCTTTTATGTGCCATGCATTTTCAGGTCGTAGGTCATCAATATGCTCAAACTCCAAACATTAACTTCTCGATAATATTTGTTTATATTTAAATTATGAACAGCCATGATCACTCACATTTTGAAGAGACACTGCACATAAAAGAAGAATCATCACAGTGTCTTGTAAAATATGTCAGCATCATCTAGCATTTCTATTTATGCACTACCATTTGCTTATTTGTTTCACTTCTAATACCTTGCTGTATGGATCAGTTATAACTAGTTTTAGTACGAGGGATACTTTTGCCTAACACTGCAAACTGCTAGTAAATCAAAATATTAATCTAAGAACTCAAGTAATGTTTTTAAATCTTAAATAGATTCATCATATTGAGACTTTCATATGTATACCATGAATATAAACTTTCATCTGTCTATTAAAAGTGGTTTTGAGCCAATGGAACCAGTAGGGCTTAGTGAGGACCATCCTTCTTCAAGCTTCATATATAAATCCTCTTCTAGGCTTAAGGCCACATCATGAAATATTGGTTCCTGTATGATCACCGAAGTTAAGCAACATTGATCCTGGCCAGTACCTAGATAGGTGACCGCTTGGAAATACCAGGTGTTGTAAGCTTGGATGTGTGGATTATACAATGGATAATAGCTCATAATTGTCAATCGGTGAACTGAGTTTCAACTCCAGCCAAATAGTCCAAAGGGATGAGTCCATCTCTTCTCCCCCAGCTATGGGTTAATTAGTAAGATTTGTATTACTAAATCATTATTATATCTATTAACAAAATTTTTACAATTTAAATATTCTGGATTTAATATCAATCAATTTTCTTCTCATGGATTCAAACAAATATGAAAATGTGTAATACGCACAAAAAGTTGTGGAAAAAAATGAAAGATAAATTTGGGCAGGATTTGCCTCGTCCTCACATTTCAGTCCTGATAGTGTTCAAAAGAGTCTCCAAATCATTGTTGTATAAAAATGATTTTCCACCCTGCCAACTGCTCTCTCACATGCAGGATGCAAAGAGTCTATCACTGCTCTTTTGCTACTTCCATGGAAAGTGCTCAGACAAACTGCATTACTGATTTTGCCTGCTCTAACCTTCACCACTAGTTCCCACCCTGCCACTTACACAGTAGAGAACTACCTTTATTCCCTCCATTTCTTAAGGTAAGTTCCACACATTCTTCCCATGAACCACTGCTCTGTGGAACAAACTCCCAAAAGGATATTTCCTTGATCATTACAATCTTGACCTGTTAATTTCCCCTCTTATCCATATAAACTAACACTTAAAGTAACACTCTACCTCGAGTGGCCCCCGGGCCTTATTATAGTAACAAAAAAAAATTCTGTTATAACTCTTGTATAATTTTCATGATAATCCATAGAGTAATATGCATTTATATGTACAATTGAACATGACTTCAAGTTGTACAAAGAATCCCCAATCAAATTTGTCTTGTGTTAATGTTTAGCAGAACCTTTACAAAGAAATATCCCTAATCTGACCTAGTTTAAATTGAAATGAATTTCTTGGGTTGGATTTTTTTTTAAGCTTTCAGATAAATGGGATTAAACTTTGCAAAAATCTGAAGGATTCTGATAATTGCAACTTATTTAAAATCTTTTTTCTTATATTAGTTTGTGTTAAATTCGCACAGATTTGGAAGTTTTAAATGCAGTTTCCCAACAAAACCTTTCATTGTTATTTAGGGAATAACATTAACAGTAGAACCTTAGGAATTTGTCAGCTTTTCTAATGTATGCCTCTTACTCATTTAATTAAAATGACTGTCAGATTACTTTTTTTTATTTTATTTTTGAAAACAAGGAGTCCGGTTTTATATGATCCCAAAAGACATGTAATTTGCATTGTGTTTTTTTTTTTGTTTTTTTTTAATGAGAAAATTCATTATGTTCATCTGAAATGCCAAAAATTGTAAGAACCAAGATTAAAAGATCCAGTTCTTTTACTGGATTCTGTTCTTTGTTTTTGATTTTCTATGGAATGGCAAGAATCACAGTGTGAAAAGAAAACAAAACAAAATATCTATCAATAAACCTTAATGGAGAAACTAATCTTCAATTTCATTTGAGTTGACTTTAATGAAACAAACATTGGCTGTTTGGTCTCTTGGTGTAAGTGCTGAACATGGGCTTAAGATCAATCAAAGAAATGCAACTGAATCTGAAGGTACAGCTTTAGTGTTAAGAGACAGGTTTCAAAAGTGTGAGAGTGCAATATATTGAATTTGATTTCTTGTTAGCCAAACAAAATCTATCATCATCATCAGGTGGTTGCTGTGCATTTCAGCCCCTGACTATTACCCACTATATATCTTAAAGGCCAAAGACATCGTCTGGTAAACCCTTCACTCTAGTCATCAATTTCATTCCAAGAAGTCTTCGGCCCAGTGATTCCATATTATTATCACATAGCTATGGAGCCCAGTCTACCATTTTGTGCTAGACAGCCATTGACCCTACCAGAAGGTTCTTTTGCCCTTTGATAGTGTTTTTTTGTTAATCCTGTTGTCTATTTAGCCACACTCCTCACCAGAAAAGCTTGGTGGAGGTATTTGTCTTAATCGCAATGACACAACTATGTGGAAGTGAGTAATGGGTCACATGGTACCAGGAGCATTGATAATATCAAAATATATACTTGCATTCTAAATTAGGGAAATAATTCATAAAATAGATAAAGACTTAGTTAAAATAAGTTGTGTATCTTTATTGAAACTTATAACATTCTTATTTATTTTCATATATATTTTCAAATATGACATTCATTTCTTTATGAAATTTACTTTTATTCATGGAGGGTTCTATTTACAATATAAACTTTACCCTTACTTTGTGTCCATTTTTTTGCAAGTTTTTACTCAAGAGTTCATAAAGTCCTTAATTTTAAATTACTGAACCCTAAAGTAAATCAAAAAGATGAAGTAACACTTCTTGACTTTGTGAAATTCAATTTGTGATGACAAATTTGAATGCCAATAACTAGCGTTAGTTGATAAAAAAAAAAAACTTTATTACTTTTTTAGGATTCTGTACTATAAGATTTCATACATATTTTCATATTTTTTAAAAAACAATTTCAACCCGTGCAAGTCAGTAAAGCCACTAAGACACCATGTGTGAAAGAATACGAAAAAAGAGAAACATTATTACAGTGTGAGAACAATAGAAAAAGTGTAATCAAGAAGACAATAGATAATGATTGACATTGCTTTTAAATTTTTGAAGATCAAAGTTGGCTGGAAAGCATGGCTCTTGAAGTGAGTTTCACAATCAAGAAATGCAAGAAAAGAAACTATCAGCATAGAATTTATGATTACATCTAACCAATTCAACTGTAAATGTGACCTTGTTGCCAATCTATGTTTAAATTCATAAAGTCTAGGTAGCATAGGGGAGAGTTCATCTGAACAACTAGCATGAAAGTATTTATAGAAAAAGCACAGGAAAGCTATATGACTGAAGTTTAGATTCCATGTCAAGACCAATAATATTGCTGATTCTTCTTTGGATTTTATCAAGAACTAGCAGTAGAGCCTGGCGTTGCCCAGGGATATAACAGTAAGAGATAGATCAAGTATCCACCATCATAAAGACTGAAAAATAAAATTGACAAAGATTATTGTTTAAGGTTGACGGACACGCATGTCTTAATTAGTTTTTTTTTTTTTTTTTTTTACGAATTGGTCAAACCCAAACCCAAAAAACATTGTTTTCAATCGTTATGAGTCTCTACCAATTGAATAGAATTTTATAAACAATTGTCTTGTAAATGGAATTTTTAAAGCATTCTGAATGTAAAAATAAAGAAAAAAGTGTGCAAGACAATAAGAAACACTACATGCCAAAAAAAAGTGAAGTTTTGTTGAAATCGGTTGAAAAATGTAGGTAGCCTTTCTGTAATCTTTTAGTTTTACAATTTATGATTTTTACTTATTGAATACAGTAATAAAAATTACATATTTTGCTTGTGGTGATTCATAATTAGAATTCTGATTTGAATATATTTTCCACTCATTGTTTCTAATACAAAAAATATTAACTTTATTTGGGTTTATTAATTATGATCTAACAAATCATTTAGTAGCCTTTCTGTAATAATAATCTTTTACAATTTATGATTTTTACTTATTGAATACAGTAAAAAGATTGTACACCATGTGTATTTAAAGTAGTTTCCCGTTCTGGTTATTATTTTTAGTTAGGACTTGTGTATGTTTAGTTTTCATTATCTTTCCCTAAAGATAAAGAATTTATCCGATGTTTGTATTCATACAATCAGTAGAGATTGTTAGATTATTGTTTAAGGTTGATGGACACGCATGTCTTAATTAGTGGGTTTTTTTTTTTCACCAATTGGTCAAACCCAAACTCAAACAAAAACATTGTTTTCAATTGTTATGAGTCTCCCGATTGAATAGAATTTTATTATAAATAATTGTCTTGTAAATGGAATTTTTAAAGCATTCTGAATATTAAAAATAAAGAAAAAAGTGTGCAAGAGAATAAGAAACACTACCTGCCAAAAAAAAAAAGTGAATTTTTGTTTTATCGGCTGAAAAATATAGGAAATCCAATCCCATATTTAAAGGAACCCACACACACAAACAACCCGATGTGAGTTGTCCCCCTTCCATTTTTACGATGTCTCTTAATCGTGTTTTCAAATTGATTTTGTGCAAAAACAATTGTATTTTTCCCATTTTTGGTGCTGTTAGAACCATCACAAGGTAATTTTATGTAGTCCTGGGAAGATTTGTTGAAATCGGTTGAAAAATGTAGGAAATCCGATCCAATATATAAACGTTACAGACACACACACACACACAATCTGCGTTTTATAATAAGTAAGATTTCTAGATATATAGCAGGATCATGGATAAATGATAAACTTATAAATATGTAAGATAGAAGATGAAGAGAAAATTGTCCAGCACAAAACAGTGAACCAAATTTCTTAGCAGCAGAGTTAGCAATGGATTCAATATAATCTTTCCATTTCATGTCATCTGAAAATACTAAACCATGAAGGCATAATGAGTCACTTTCCATCAGTATCAACCATGCTGATGGGAGACAGTAAAAGGTGGCTCAGGTGAATAGTAAAGCGAAGTTTTGTTTAAAATTAACATACTCCAGCAGACTGTAGGTCATTTAAGCATAAATATACTTTGAAATATTTCATCAGATGTTGTAATATTGAAAAGAAAGTTAGGGTTCAGTTTGACATTATATGTACATTGTAGACTAAATATCTATTTTACAGCTACTTTGCTTGTTTCAACTTTAAAACCTTTCATTTCTTACAGATGAAAAGGTTTCCAACCAAATAAAAGTCATTTTCATGAAGAGTATTTGTTTTTATTTCTACATATGAAAATTAATTTCTCTTGCTTAGTAAATTCAGTTAGTTATCTGCTGTGTACAATACATGCTTAGGCGATAATATATCTTTCGTTACATGATTTACAAGGCAGATTTTTTCCTGCAGTAGGTTGCCATTTCTTTCTGCAGTAGACCAGTTGCCATCCAAGGCTATAGAACCTGGTCTGTCCTGCTATTTACCCATAGCAGGAGGAAGAAGAA